ATTGGGAAGACGATCCAGCAGCTACCGGAACCGAAGCGTTGCGAAGAAAGGGTTTGTGAGATGGAGGAGAGGAAGAGAAGGAACAGAAGTGATCAGAGTCCATTGAAGGTTAAGTCTCTTGCAATATTTCTGAAATGGCTTCAAGAGTTTCCTGAATCAAAGATGTATGGGAGACCATATTGGAGGTAGAAGGGGAGGGTGAGTAAAGAATGGGACAGTAATGGACTGTCACCACAGCAGAGGGGTACCAAAAGAGTGTAAGGGACTGGAGAATGAAGTGTGGGGGGGGGGACAGAAGAGGCATAAACTCTGGAGGTGGCAGAAGAGGGAGAAAACTTGGGGAGGGGACGGGGTGGAGGCATAGTTCGAGGAGGAGGGGAATCTCCACACTTGTAATAGAGCCAGAGAGAGGGGAAGAACTGGGCACAGAGACTGGAAAGGTAAAGTGTGGAGGGGGAAAAAGGGGAAAGGAAGGGCAAAGAAGATTTGAGCAATGTGGTTTTTTTGGGACTTCTCAGAAGTAGAGGGGCGATTGGTATAAGGTGCCCATACGAGGTCTTGTCGATACTGGGGCTTGTGAGGAAGGAGGCGAAGATGTGAGAACAGATGAGTTGTAGTCGGGACTCAGAGCCAAGGACAGCAAAAGGATTAAAAGCCGGAGTGGCTAGGGGAGGGGAAAACACAGAGGTGGCTGCAGAAGATGGGACCCCAGAAGTGGGGGGATGTTTTGAAACACGAGAATAAAAAAACACGGGGTAGTCTCCCTTGGAGGCGGAGATGAGTAATGCCATAGCATAAGGGAGACTTTTCTGCCTCTTTGAGGCAATGGATTTCACGTTCATTTAAGTAGACCTGGCAACGGCGGGAGTACGAAGGGTGAGCTTTATTACAAAAAAGGGCAAAATGGAGGTTGACTGCAAGATGTATTAGAATGGTCGTGGGCACCACAGACGGGGCATTCGGCAAATTTCGCTGGGTGACCAAACGCCAGCAATTTCTACACTGTTGTGGTGTAGGTAACACCTTTCGAACTTGTAACCGATGTCCCGCGACATATACAGAGGACGGGAGTTCTCGGCTGTCAAAAATTTAAAACGAGCCACACTGAAAGGGGTAACGTCTCCGCCCACGGGAAAGGAAGGACATAAGTGTCTACTTTGAGGATTGGGAGACCCGGAGTTCCAGCTGTTCAAGAATGTCATTGCACATGATGGAAATTCTGTTGGACTATGGTATGGGGCAGAATGACAGTACCACTACAAGAATTGAGAGAAAGTTTGTTTTTCAATAGTGATAGGAGTAGTATCGATATTCGAAAGGAGAGAAAGATCATGAGCTTGGGTAGCTTTTCTGGACAGTGACGATGCGCGTACCGCTTTGAGAGCATGAAATGAAAATCTCTCCCAAACATGACGCAGGAGCGCTTTGCCAATACTATGGTCAGAAAGATAGGCAGAAGAAGAATTTCGGTCTTAAAGTCAAGAATTTAGCCCCATTGTGTGGTCCAAACTGAGCGTGGAGAGGGGGGGTGCATGACTTGTCGGTCTTTCCCAAGTTAGAATGGGAAGGTAACGAAGGACATCATCAGGAGATTGACGTTGGTGTTTAGGAGTAGGACCGGAGTTGGTCCGGCGTGAAATGGGCTGGCGATTCGAAAATTGCCGTACCGTAGAGGGAGAGGCCGGAAGCATAGTCAAAGGAGAGTGGAGGTCAGACAAGTCGAAGGAGTCAGTCAAAGCCCTGGTACCTGAAGCGGGTGAGGAAACAGCACCAGCAAGAGGTACAGGGGCATCAGGAGTGTCCGAAGAGTGGTCTAAAAACAAGGCAGGGTCAGAATGGGGTGTGGTATCAAGGAGGAGCCTGGGGGTAGTGGGTTCATGGACTGGGTTCTCCATGGTTAGGTTACTCCTTTGCTTTTTGTTTTTAAGAAAAAAAAAGAAAGAAGAAAAGAAAATAAAAATAAAAAAAAAAAGGAAAAAAAGGGGGGAGCGGGGAGGAATAGTTCCCAGGAGGAATGAAAGGGCCAGAAATCTCCCTCCGCGCCCAAGAGGACTTCAGCACTGCTAGTAGCGCAGATGCAGCATGGAACCCGTGCCATACCCTACCCTTCATGCCAGTAAACCAGCAATCCGGAAGAGCAACCTCACATCTGCCGAGCTACCTCGGTGGACAAAAGAGAGGGCAGCCGGATATCCGCCGCAAAGCATACCTCCTTCGGCCACCACCCCCGGAATCCGAAAGGTGGCTTCCAGAGATACACCCGTTGCCCAAAAGACACCCAAAGCTACTCCGGGATACCGGAGAGGGATCGGGACATCCCCAGGCGATCCAGATTCCACGGCAAACTATGCCACCGCCAAGAACCTCAACGGAATGGGATGGACCCCGGTATCCTTTCCCCTACCTAGGAACTAGCGCGCCTGTGGGAGAAATCCCAAAGGCCAAAAAGAGGAAGGGCAAAAGGGAGGGGGGGGGGAGGAGGAGGAAAGGAAAAAAGGGGAGGATGGGATAGGGAGGGGGGGATTGGGGGGTAATTAGGTTTGGTCTGAGGAAGGAGACCGACAGGTCTGATTCCTCAGACCAAGAGCCTCTTCACCACAACAAGGAGCCCCCCTTGAAGAGGTGTCATTTTCCAGCCAGCCAAAATTCCAGCATTGATGCCAAACAGGTTTGGCGAGGAAAAAAAAAAAACTATTACAATGGCTTGCCTTTCAACATAAACTTCCCAAATGAAAATGGTATTAGAACCATATTTTTCTGATGGCAGATGGGGGAAAAATACAAATTTATTCTGAAAACTTTTCATTACGAACATGCACATAGTTCAACTGTACTTCTTTTTCTATCACGTTGAGTAAGATACAGTATACAGTACATTTTTCAGAATTAGCTGTTTATGTCCAGTAATGTTGCAGATATCTAAAATTAGCTGTCAACATTTTTACCTTACCTCTGGTAAAGTACGTAAACCAAGTAAATCACTTTAACTTAAATTAACTATATAATGGTCCGCAAATGACATGAACGGAATACTTAAATAAATTTAGTGAATACCCAGTATTAAATGTTTAAAAACTCTTCAGTTACACAGTAGGAACATTGTCCTAATCAATCAGTGAATCAGGTAGAATAGGTAATACATCCTTCATAGAAAACACAGGGCACTTTTACCTGCAAGAAATCACTTATTCAACTGCACCCATAATTAATTAAATGCTTTCATGTTAATTACTTTAAGCACTCACACCTTAGTCATTTCAGTTTCCCCATACATCAACTAACATATCTTCCACGTTAGACTCAATAAATCTTAGTAAATTACACGATGTAACTGGTGGTGAGATTAGCAATCAACACAACATTCAGTCAGCAAGACTTCATAAACAACACTGTATCTAATAGTCCAAGTCATGGTAACAGTTAGGTAGATGATACTGACAAGTTGAGGAAAAGGACACATTTGCAATTAAGACATTTTAATAGGTAACATTTCAGTATTGGGTCCTTGTTTACTCCAGGACTAAAACATTTCCTATTATAATGTCTTTAGTATTTCCACACACGTCCTTTTCCACTGGCCAAGTCAGCAACATTACAGCTTTGCTAACCATATTTTCATTAAATACAGTAAATGTACAGTATTTAACGCTACTGACATTTTCAACAAACTAAACATGAAATGTAGCTAATTAATGACACCTCTTGAGTAGAGGTAGCAACTGTTAAAGAAGTAGCATGAGGCAACATCACAATGCCATTCTTGGTATAACAAAACAATTCAAGTTTGTCTCAGCTGCCTGACCCATTCAGCACACTTGCTCGAGCTTAAATTAAGGGAGTATTATTACAATGTTAATTATAATTATATTATTTAATGTACATTTAGTTATAAACAGTCATATAATCACACTCTACAATGGTTTCCCAGTGCCATAATTGACAAGTGTGATGTCTGGCCAACCGCTGAGCTGTAGGCTGAGTAAGTTACCAAATTACATGTAATATGAAGGGATTTAAATAGCTTGTACAAGACTTAAACAGTTGCAGTATTACTGCCTTCTGCCACTTCTGGTGTGATTTTTTTAATATAACCAAATCGACAAAGATGACTGGACCTTAAAAAATAACCAAGGACTTATTTTTAAAATAAAGTATAAAATGTACAAAAGAGAAGATACCACTGTAGTGTTTATGTAACTAACTACTAACATTGATCATGAGTTCCTGTGGGAAGGAGAGGGCTTACAAACACTGAAAATAATAATGACTGACATTCCAGAAAGATGCAAGACATTACTGCCTGAAAGGCTCCTCAATATGTACAAAATAACACAACCCACAATCCTCACCTTGTACATGAGTATCCTATCTTATCAAAATAAGTCAATACAGTACAGTACTGTACACCAAATTACCTCCATATGAAACTGCCTAGTGAAACTTTGCCCAAGGTATTGTAGTTTCTCTATGCTTTCAGAAGCACCTGCAATTTCATCTATAATTTAACATGAAACACTGAGATTTTTAGACAGAAGTTACCCAATGTGATACCATGGTACTAAACAAATTACAACTATTACATTATTGAGATCTGTGTGCTTTAAGATTTGTTAAATTAAGGTATAGTATCATGGACATATCTAAAAAATTACAATTGCTAATACTTCCAAAATCTATGATTTTTCTACAAGGCTTAAGAGGTTAAATTTAAGTCTAGTTATTCATTAATGTCTGATTTTTGTAGCATTTAATATTAATAAAGTATATATCCATATTCCTTTAGTAAAAAATATTTGTAAATGAAAAAATAATCACAATCTTTCCTATTACTAAGTCAAAACCCAATCAATCTTCCTCAGGTGGAGGGAAAAACATAGCCATTTCTCTGGCAAAGTCTCAAAGGGCAAACAGTCTGCTTCCTTGAAAAAAGACTGACGACAAATGCCACAGGCACTTTTTTTTTTTTTTTTAATTTTCTGCAGTAGTGAGGCAGACAAAATTTGCAAACTGTAACCTCTATGATGTGCACTCTCCAATGTCACTACAACCACACAACAATTTTTTTTTTCCTTGCACATTATGATTAAGGTGGGTATCACTATTAAGTTAGATAAAATAATAACTTTCACTTCACTGCTCCTAACAATTTTAAATTTGGACGTCACTAACTTGTATATTAAAATTATAATGCAAATTTTCAATGGTTGAGGCAAAGGAGAGAGCACCATGCAAAGGACAGTATGCACACAATTAAGACACATGGCTGGAACTATAAGATAAAACTTAGGTGGCATATCAGTATGATTTCTGGACTCTGATTTTCATTTTTTGATAATAAATTCATGACAATTATCTCAAAATATCAAAATTTTCATTAAAATATATTCCACTTCTTAAGTGCCACAAAAAAAAAAACTAGCTCTACTATGTGTACTTAACTTTAAAGACTGTACATAGTAACCATAGTCTGTATGCCTCTACAGTAGATGTCAGCTTCATTTTTACCTGTTAATACAAAGGCAAATTATCTAATTATAAAAATAAATATAACAAAAATCTACTGAGGATGGACTTAGACATCTGTAAAAGGGATCAGACAACATTTGGTATATGTATCATTTTTTTTTTCCATTTTACCAGCATTACAATAGCAAATACAAGTCAGCCTACATAATTTCAAAGTATTTCAAAACATTCACTCTTCATTTCTGATAGATAGTACAGCCCCTAATTACACAAAGTATCAAAAGCACCACAATTTCTCCAATACTGACCACCCTATGTACTCATCTTTGTAACTATTTATGTTGTTCTTGCAAATTCCAGGGCTAAGTTTTAAACCGTGGCTGGTGAAGCAGTACTAAGTATAAATCATTCTAGCAAGTCTTGTAAGTGCTCTTCTTAATTTTAGCTTTAATTATCTTTCCTCACCAACCCATAGTTAACCTACATGGAAAACTTACACACAAATTGAATACACATTCTAATACTTTAAATCTCTTAAAATGAGGCACTAATAATAGCAATTAATGAATATGTTGGCATACAAAATTTACATACTTGGAATATTATCAACTTGTTTGCAATGAAACTGACTTAATAATATTCTTTTATGAAAAAAAAGAAGTTTTATGGAATAAAAATATACCAGCAAAATTAATAAATTACTTTCTGCCAAGCATTAAACTACGACAATATCCCCAGTACATATATACGAGTATTTTCCAACACACATACAGTATTTTTAAACTATGCTTTAGATACTTTCCCATCATACTATGGTTGTTCTACGACAAGCTTTATAGTCTGTAAACCAAGATATTACAAGCATAGCACTTCAAGGGCTACCTTCTGTGACCCCAAGTCATCATATCTCCTATGACGGAATGTATTTAGTTCATCGTACCGGACACATCTTCAATACTGATTGCTACTATCAGAGGCTTATATTTGCTCAGTACTCCTTCAGAGCCAGTTATTAAAATTTATTATTCAAAATATGAACTGCTTATTTCTCATCTATCTTTGATCACAACAAAAAATATACCTTACCTTATTTTCCTACTGCACAGTGTGCATCATGTAGCTGCATCTAGCTGCTACTCCTTCAGCTGCTGGACTGACCATTTACACTTAATGTCTACACATTAAGAGTTGAACTTTATAACTGCTTTAATGAGCAGGTACCTGGCGTGACTACCAATACTGCACAATAACTTCTGCTAATACAGTGGACCCTCGACTAACGCTATTAATCTGTTCCTGAGAGCTCATCTTTAGTCAGAATAATCGTTAGTCAAGTTAATTTTCCCCATAAGAAATAATGGAAATCAAATTAATCCGTGCAAGACACCCAAAAGTATTGAAAAAAAAAAATTTAACACATGAAATATTAATTTTAATACACACAAACTGAAGAAGACATGCACAGTTACATGACACTTACCTGTATTGAAGATCTGGTGATGATTGATGGGATGGGAAGAGGGGAGTGTGTTGATGGTCTTAGTGTTTAGAAGGGGAATCCCCTTCCATTAGGACTTGAGGTGGCAAGTCCTTTTTCGGGGTTACTTCCCTTCTTTTAATGCCACTAGGACCAGCTTGAGAGTCACTGGACCTCTGTCGCACAACATATCTGCCCATAGAGGCCTGTACCTCCCGTTCCTTTATGACATTCCTAAAGTGTTTCACAACATTGTCAGTGTCACCATTAAACGCTTGTTCAGGTTTCAGTCCTTCACTGTCTATGTACTCCTTGAATTCCTGCACATATTTTTCAGCTGCTTTTTGGTCCAAACTGGCAGCCTCACCATGCCTTATCACACTATGTATGCCACTACGATTCTTAAATCTCTCAAACCAACCTTTGCTGGCCTTAAATTCACTCACATCACCACTAGTTGCTGGTATTTTTCTAATTAAATCGTCATGCAACTTCCTAGCCTTTTCACGTATGATCGCTTGAGAGATGCTATCTCCTGCTATCTGTTTTTCGTTTATCCATACCAATAACAGTCTCTCAACATCTTCTATCACTTGCGATCTCAGTTTCGAAAACATAGTTGCACCTTTGGCAAGAACAGCTTCCTTGATTGCCGTTTTCTTGGCCACAATAGTAGCGATGGTTGATTGGGGTTTTGTTTACAGCCTGGCCAGCTCAGAGACATGCACTCCACTTTCATACTTAGCAATGATCTCTTTCTTCATATCCATAGTAATTCTCACCCTTTTTGCTGTAGGGTTAGCACTAGAAGCTTTCTTGGGGCCCATGGTGACTTATTTTGCAGGTGCAATCACTAAAAAGGCTGTGATAATATGAAATGTTCCGATTGTATGCTTGGAAGCGACCGCGGTGGCTGGCTGGCTTGTAAACACTGGCCAGAAGTGGACGCGTCTCAGACGGAACGAATAGTGTTGGTCGAGTTTTTTAGCGCTAATCGAGGCAAAATTTTTGCGATAAAATGTATCGCTAGTCAGATTTATCGTTAATCGATGCCATCGCTGGTCGAGGGTTCACTGTAGTACTGGTAATGAGAACACACATGAAGCTAAAGAAAATGTATAAAAACAATCAATATTAAATCACAAAGGCGATCTCCAAGACTGTGTTTGCACTTACGCTTGCTTTTAAAACAAAGGTGAATATCTTCATACACCCACATACAATCTCATACAGACTTACATATATACACACACCACCACACACCAAACTTAATTCTACCCTTGCAACAGACATTTGCCACTAACTTGCCTCCACATATCTATGCCCTTAAATTATTGTGCATGCAAAATTTTCAATATAGAGGATGATCCATTTAGTGTATGCTCATCTGAATGGGGTATTCAACCTCCAGTTTAAACCCATTTGGATACCAAATCTATCAACTGTAAAGTACGAGAAAGGACCTAACCAAGCATCAACTCAAATACAACAATCACAATGCCTTGTGACCACTCTCAAATGCTATCTATGGATATCCTTGACTGTTAAGCGCCAGCATTTACATTCACGTAAAATAAAATTCCTGAATATAAACAAAATTAACACACACTTTATATGTATTTTTAAAAATTAATGATTCACTATAAAAAATTAGGAAGGGGTGTGCTGGAAATTTTGAGAGGAAGGGATTTTATTTGCTGTTGGTGTGAACAAGGTAATATCTATGAAGGGATTCAGAGGAACAAGTTAGCTGGACCTCTGCACTCAAAAGAATGGAGACAGGGATATTGTGATTTTATGGATTATTAGAATTGTTATGTCTCTGCACATTTAGAAAGACATCTAGGTATGGCAGAAGTATTTTCCTTCTTTAGGATACACTACCTTGGTGGAAAATGGCCAGTGTCAAAAATATGTTTATGAAAACATTAGTGAAAATTTAGACTACGTATTTCAAAGGTGCCAATGCCATGCACACATTTATACTCAAAAGGTTTTGTGTCGACATTTCTTTGCAAATCCGTTTAATGTATTTAAGTTAAGAAATGTCTAATGACAACATTAGTCTACTGCTGAGTGGGCTCTAAGGAAAAGAAAGTGAATTAAAATTTCAATAATTCTTCAAACAAAATTTTGGGCTTTACTACACTTTCAATTATCCAAACTCCCTTCTCCATACCCCTCCCTCTGTGATAGTTACTGATAATTTTTTTTAATTTAGGTTATTAGTCACAACTAGTCAATGTGGTTGGTCAACATACCTAGAGACAGGGGTAAGACATGAAACATCTTAAGAGTTGTATCTAGCAAAATAAGTAATGTGTATGAGAAGAAATCAACATCCTGAAATTTAGATAAACTACTCTTTTTCATTAACTGCATACACAGAAAGAATTTGTTGACCCTAAAACTATAACTGCAAAAAGTTATACATTTTTCTAACAAAACACTCATATCTATACAGATATACAAATTTATAAATACTGTACTGCTTTTTAATAAAAACAGAGCTTTAGTACTGATAATATTTGTCATAATAAAGTAATACAGTTGAGAAGTGAAGTACAAATGTAGATATACTGTACTAATATCTTTTGAAAGACACATAATGGGGATGATAGAGGTAATATGGCTAACAACCTCAATGAATAATAACATTAAATGCATATGCAATTGATGCAAAACAGACACAAAAACAAAATGGATGCTTTATTGAAATATTTTGCTCGGAGACCAAGCCATTTCAAGTCTATAGAGTACATGGTGGTAAAAAATGAAATACAAGGGCCGAGTAAGAATTATAGGACAGATGTGATTGACCCAGCATGTGAATAACTATAAAGGTCACTCCTCCCTCTTACAGTCCTCATTAAACTTAATATATTACCCATATTTCCCATGAACTTTCTCTAGACTTGAAGAGGCTTCTTCTCCAAGCAAGATACTGCTTTATTGAAGTGTTCATTGTCAAAATAGTTTTAATGAATTGTGAAATCTGCCTTTGTGTCTTGGTTATGCAACTTTACAAAATGACAACTGCATGTTACGTTCAATGTGTGGAGGGAGCAAATAATAAAAGTTTAAGATTGAGTCGTAATGAACCAAACTGATATCATGCACAAAGCTGTATACAATGACGAGATTTGGAAAATGAGTAATGTTGGTATTTCATTTAGTTGTCCCCAAAGAATTAATCATATAACAAAATTATAAAATAATAAATATTAATGAACAACAATCCTTGCCTGCTTGAACAGTAAACTGATGGGCTTACCTACAATACCAGTTTCTCTACTTTTCCCATACATCTTCATTTCATTTACCCCTAAAAAAATTTATACAGCATACAAATTATGAAAATATAAATAAATAGTTCCTCATTATAAGGCTAGGCACAAGAATAATCAACTAATGGCATGTTAAAAATAATAGAAATTGTGCTGGTCAGTTGACAAGAGCACTGAAGTTAAACCCACGTGTTCTTCACATATTACAAAAACTTTCACCATACTGAATATGCTTTCTTTTATAGGCACAGCCTATGAACATAATGAATGAATCTAAAAACTCCTACATTGCAGTGTTGGAAACTTGAGCATCAAAAGCATGAATCTAAAGTTAAAACACCACACTTTTAAATTGTCTTTGGTGCAATTCTAAGGCAATACATTGGGATGACAAAACACGAGACTTCCTTCACATTTGTGACACTGTAGATTTATAGAGGTACAATTCACTAGAGCTTCAAAATATTCATATTGCATATATGCTCTATTTAGTGAATCAAAGTTCCAGAGAGGGGGAAACAAATACAAGCATAACATTGCATTACCATCTCATAATTTTACCATACACTGGGATTGCATCAGTATTCTACAAAAGACAGCTATGAGTAAAGCTTATCACTCGGTAAGGAAACTCTTTATGTACACCCACTGTCCATTTTTATGTACACCCATTGTCGATTTTTCCAAGAGAACAAAACATGTTCTTCAAAAATACTGGGATGTAATTTGCATCAGGCATTCAAACACCTCATTTTGAGTTGTACAAAAAATACCATTTTTGGGTAAAGGCAGCAGCCACTACAAACACAGGCCACATTGTGATGTTGGCTAACACCCTATGTATGACCCTTACCATTAAAAGGTAACTGCTCAATTCAAAAACTGGGACTAATAGTATGAAATAATCCAAATACTTCCAAAAAAATAGGAAGCATATAGATTACAGTCTCAGTTGACTATCATTTTTATGCATGTAGATTAAAGTATCTCAGGTATGCAGTTCATTAGAATTGCATACCAGTACAATGCCAATGCACTGAAAAGTAGCCCCACACACGTCATTTTTTAATAATGCAGATATTATTGGTTACCATAATAAATACCTGAAACAAAGTATCCACTGTCTGTAACAGGCAATTTAGGGAAGATTGTATTTCTGCCAGATCAGGCATTTAATGGCTACATTACTGTGTCACTGTTTCTGCTCACCTGTAATTATCCATGTGGAAAATATTTAAGAGTCAAGCTTAATTCTGTAACCATAGCTACAAGGAGAATCAACATGACCTGTATCCCAATATGGTCTGAGAATTAATACTAGGTAAAAGCTGGATACAATTCCAGGTCAGTGCAGCCGCCAGATCTGGGCTTTACAATTGAGGGTCAGTAGGCCACAGCAGCCTCCTTATACTCGGAACCTTCGAGTGTAAAGAAGTCTTCCAATTTCCAGGTGAGGGTTTCGAAGGTAGGTCTCTTCATGGGATCCTTGTGCCAACACTCAACCATTATATCATAAAGAGCAGGAGGGCAGCCAGGTGGTGGAGGCATACGATATCCATGCTCCACTTGGTGTAAAACTTCGGCATTGGTCATACCTGAAAGGAATAGTTATTTTTTCACAATTTCTTTAGTGCACACTAATTTAACTATTATTATATCAATAGATATAGATATAGATATAGATGGGGTAGTAAGAGAAGTAAATGCGAGGGTCTTGGCAAGATGTGTGGAGTTAAAAGATGAAGAATCACACATAAAGTGGGAGTTGTCACAGTTGCTCTTTGCTGATGACACTGTGCTCTTGGGAGATTCTGAAGAGAAGTTGCAGAGATTGGTGGATGAATTTGGTAGGGTATGCAAAAGAAGAAAATTAAAAGTGAATACAGGAAAGAGTAAGGTTATGAGGATAACAAAAAGATTAGGTGATGAAAGATTGAATATCAGATTGGAGGGAGAGAGTATGGAGGAGGTGAATGTATTCAGATATTTGGGAGTGGACGTGTCAGCGGATGGGTCTATGAAAGATGAGGTGAATCATAGAATTGATGAGGGGAAAAGGGTGAGTGGTGCACTTAGGAGTCTGTGGAGACAAAGAACTTTGTCCTTGGAGGCAAAGAGGGGAATGTATGAGAGTATAGTTTTACCAACGCTCTTATATGGGTGTGAAGCATGGGTGATGAATGTTGCAGCGAGGAGAAGGCTGGAGGCAGTGGAGATGTCATGTCTGAGGGCAATGTGTGGTGTGAATATAATGCAGAGAATTCGTAGTTTGGAAGTTAGGAGGAGGTGCGGGATTACCAAAACTGTTGTCCAGAGGGCTGAGGAAGGGTTGTTGAGGTGGTTCGGACATGTAGAGAGAATGGAGCGAAACAGAATGACTTCAAGAGTGTATCAGTCTGTAGTGGAAGGAAGGCGGGGTAGGGGTCGGCCTAGGAAAGGTTGGAGGGAGGGGGTAAAGGAGGTTTTGTGTGCAAGAGGCTTGGACTTCCAGCAGGCATGCGTGAGCGCGTTTGATAGGAGTGAATGGAGACAAATGGTTTTTAATACTTGACGTGCTGTTGGAGTGTGAGCAAAGTAACATTTATGAAGGGGTTCAGGGAAACCGGCAGGCCGGACTTGAGTCTTGGAGATGGGAAGTACAGTGCCTGCACTCTGAAGGAGGGGTGTTAATGTTGCAGTTTAAAAACTGTAGTGTAAAGCACCCTTCTGGCAAGACAGTGATGGAGTGAATGATGGTGAAAGTTTTTCTTTTTCGGGCCACCCTGCCTTGGTGAGAATAGGCCAGTGTGATAATAAAAAAAATAATAAAAATATATCAATAGACTTAAAAAATTGCTTAGAGAATGGTTAATTTTACTTAAATACTTATTTTGTGGCTTAGAACACATTAGTGTTACTGTCTTATCCTTGTTCTTTTCAAACAGAATAAATTACTCGATGACAAAGCTATTTTATAATCCTTAATATAGATTTCCTAAATAGCAATCCAACAGAAATTAAGGTTCCTATATTAATAATAATATAGCAAACTGACACTGCTGTGATAGCCAAGTTTGAAACAATTATGCAGTCAATGAGGAAGAATTTTTTTTTTATCATGTCGACTATTTCCCACCAAGGCAGGGTGACCCAAAAAGAAAGAAAAAACTTTCAACATTATTCAACACTTTCACCATCACTCACATATAATCATTGTCTTTGCAGAGGCACTCAGATACAACAGTTTAGATGCCCCTCCAAACTGCCAATATCCCTAACCCTTCCTTTAACCCTTTCACTGTCGGTCCTATAATATTACAGCTTGCAAGCCAGTGTCGGTCCCGTAATAGTATGCCAAAATTCTAGCGGCTTCCAATCTTGCAGGAGATAGCTGGTAGGCCTACATATGAGAGAATGGGTCTAAGTGGTCAGTGTATGCAGTATAAAAAAAATCCTGCAGCACGCAATGCATAATGAGAAAAAAAATGCGACTGTGTTTTTTATTTAAAACAGCAACTTTGTGGTGTAGTTTCATATGGTATTTATTGTTTTATTCTCGCTTTCTTGGTCTCACTTGATAGAATGGAAGATATATTACAGAAATGGAGATGCTTTTAAATGGTTTACAGACTAAAAGTACATTGAAATTGAGCTCAAAGTAATGGAAATGTTCGATTTTTCCCGATCATCCAATACGCACATCCAATACACATCAACTGGTGGGTCTAATATGCTTTCACAAATGCGCTGATATTATTTATACAATTTTTACAATAATGCAGTAGTCTGCATAACAGTAAATCTTCTATTTTTTGTGTGAATAAAAATTCAAAATGGAAAGCAAGTGTAATATAAGAGGGGCTTGGAGATCTGACTAATGAAGAGAGAAAATGTTATTTTAGCATTAGGAATGTTTGCACTATTAATTCTGGACCCTATTTTGAAATTGGTCTTCCTTGAATTTTGTATGAAATTGGCCAAATTACAAATTTCTGATCACTTTATTGGGTAGTTGAAATATGTAAATGGGCAGTTTCTTGTACTAAATCGATAGAAGAAAAGGAGTTTTAGCGAAATAGCTACGAGTTTGGTTGACTGGAACAATGGAATTGGCTGAAAATTGGGCTCAAAGTGGATGAAATCGCCTATGCACAAATATCATCAAAGACTCCTAACTCCACGAAAGTGCAATTCCCCTACTACGCCTTCCTTACTCTACAGATTTATATGCTCTCCAAGTCATTCTATTTTGCTCCATCCTCTCTAAATGACCAAACTGCCTCAATAACCCCTCTTCAGCCCTCTGAATAATACTTTTAGTAGCTCCACACCTCCTCCTAATTTCCACACTATGAATTCTCTGCATAATATTTACACCACACATTGCCCTTGGACAAGACATCTCCACTGCCTTGAGCCTCCTCTTCACTGCAGCATTTACAACCCATGCTTCACACCCATATAAGAGTGTTGGTACCACTATACTCTCATACATTTCCTTCTTTGCCTCCATGGATAACATTTTTTTGTCTCCACAGATACCTCAATGCACCACTCACCTTTTTTCCTTCATCAATTCTACGGTTAGCCTTATCCTTCATAAACCCATCCGCTGACAAGCCAACTCCCAAATATCTGAAAACATTCACTTCTTCCATACTCCCTCCCTCCAATTTGATAACCACTTTTTCTTTATCTAAATCATGTGATACCTTCATCAGCTTACTCTTACATATGTTCAATTTCAATTTTCTACCTTTACACACCCTCTAAACACATCCACTAACTTTTGCAAGTTTTCTTCAAAATCTCCCAAAAGCACAGTATCATCAGCCAAAAGTAACTGTGTCAACTCTCATTCTGTATCTGATTCCCCATAATTTAATCCCACCCCCTCTCCCCAACACCCAAGCATTTACTTCTGTTACAACCCCATCTATAAATATATTAAACAACCATGGTGACATTACACATCCCTGTCTAAGACCTACTTTTACTGGGAAGTAATCTCCCTCTCTCCCACACACCCTACTCTAAGCCTCACTATCCTCATAAAAACTCTTTACAGCATTTAGTAACTTACTACCTATACTTGCAACATCTGCTGCATTGCTCCCCTATCCACTATCATATGCCTTTTCTAAATCCATAAATGCAATGAAAATTTCCCTACCTTTATTTAAATACTGCTCACATATATGCTTCAATGTAAACACTTGATCTACACATCCCCTATCCATTCTAAAGCCTCCTTGTTTATCAGCAATCCTGCTCTCTGTCTTACCTTTAATTCTTTCAATAATAACCCTACCATACATTTACCTGGTATACTCAGTAAACTTATTCCCCTATAATTTTTTCAATCTCTCTTGTCCCCCCTTCCCTTCATATAAAGGAACTATACACACTCTCTGCCAATCCCTAGGTACCTTCCCCACTTTCATACATTTATTAAACAAAAAATACCAACCACTCCAACACTATATCCCTCCCCCTGCTTTTAACATTTCTGTCATACTCCTGTCAGTTCCAGCTGCTTTACCCCCCTTTCATTCTAAATACCTCATGCACCTCCCTCACACTCACATCGTGCTCTTCTTCACTCCTAAAAGATATTATACCTCCCTGGCCAGTGCATGAAATTACTGCCTCCCTTTCTTCAACACTTAAAAGTTCCTCATAATATTCCCATCAACTACCCAATACCTCCAGCTCCCCATCTACTAACTTCCCTACTCTGTTTTTAACTGACAAATCCATTTGTTCTCTAGGCTTTCTTAACCTGTTTATCCGACTCCAAAATTTTTTTCTATTCTCAGCAAAATTTGTTGACAGTGCCTCTCCCACTCTATCATTTGAGGAAGAATATTAAGACAATAAGATACATCTTCATTTGCCTGGATATTTGTGAATCCATTATGATTTAACAACAAACCTTGCACTTCTAGTTTTAATCTAGTACAGTAATGTCCACAAATTCACATGGTTGAGGATGGGGAGTTTAAAAAACTAGAAAATGCATAATAAATTTTGCTTCAGACATGGATTCATTGTATGTTTTAGACGATATCCCTGTACTATATCACAAACCCAGTTAGTATTAACTGGGTTTGTGAATGTCAGTATTGACATTCATAAGAATGAATGTCCGGAATGAAAAAGATTTGGCCTTGGGAGAGCCACTGAGTGTATGGGCAAATACCACAAAACCTAGATTTTTTTTTTTTTCAACAAGTCGGTCGTCTCCCACCGAGGCAGGGTGACCCAAAAAAGAAAGAAAATCCCCAAAAAGAAAATACTTTCATCATCATTCAACACTTTCACCACACTCACACATTATCACTGCTTTTGCAGAGGTGCTCAGAATACAACAGCTTAGAAGCATATACGTATAAAGATACACAACATATCCCTCAACATATCCTAGATAACTTAAGGTATTCACATGTTGCCCATCAGTAAAACCTTGGATAATTTAATTCCTCATGTAAAGAACCCTGTGGATTTGAGAGAATGACTGTATTGCACATAAGACTACCAAGAAAAAATAGTCGAATCCTCCAAATTCACAGCTTCCACTGTCCAACACTTGTTAAATGGTTTCTGGCAAACAGATTTATTTTAATTTTTTCCTTGTGAACATTTTGTTTTGACTTGGCATATGACCCCATAAACTGGAAACCAGCCAAGGGATTTTATTCAAAATACAATCCCTGTCTAATAGTAGTAGAATAATAATGATTTCTATAAGGTAAATCATACAATACAAAGCAGGCCAGACTTGAGTCCTGGAGATGGGAAGTACAATGCCTGCAATCTGAAGGAGGGGGTCCAAATGTTGCAGTTTTATAACTCTAGTGTAAGCACACCTCTGGCAAGACAATGATGGAGTGAACGATGAAAGTTTTTCTTTTTCGGGCCACCCTGCCTTGGTGGGAAATGGCCGATGTGTTAATACAAAAAAAACAGAGCATTAGATGGCATTATTGACATTCTTTATAGATAACCCCTGGTTATGAAGACCATACCTAGGTGGTATTTCAGTGAGATTACAAGCAGCACTGATTTCAAAATAAGTGAGAGTATATGTATACATCCTTAGCTTCAATTTTGCCTATTTGTAAAGGAAGGAAAGGAAAATAGCACCTGTGACTGGTTTAAAGGGCCAGCCTCCTCATTTGATTGCCTGGTCAACCAAGCTGCTGCTGCCAGCTTACATGCAGTGGGCCACCAGAGATCTTGTCTCCAGGTGGGACCAGAGCCTACATATATAAAGCTCTACATACCTGGGTATGGTATACGCCCATAGGTGATAAGTTCGGTTAGTAGAATACCAAATGACCAGACATCACTCTTTATGGAGAACTTTGAGTAGTTTGCAGCCTCAGGTGCTGTCCACTTAATGGGAAAACGAGCTCCAACTCTTGCTTCATATTCATCCTCCTGCAGACAGAAGATAGTAAATTAATAAAAGAAATCCATTTAAGCTAAGGCTATATAACATTCATTCATTCATTCATTCATTCATACATTCATTCATACACACACACATTCATTCTCTTTGACACTTTTTTTTTTTAAATTTGTTAATTTTTAAATCAAGGGTAAAAATGCCAGCTTGTTTAAAATCTCAATCTTTAAGCCAGATTCCAATCAATATTTCACTTACTATTTTTTTTTAAAAGTGAGACATGATGCAAACCTGTTAAAGACAGCAATAATAAGAATTCTGAAACAGCAAAATATAGCACATTCAATAAAAAAATTAAAACATACATGATTGTGAAAATCATTGCAAGCATATGGAAACATGTTTCTTGAAAGATTCTCTTAATGTGCTTAGAGAATACAAGAAAGTTTGTCACACCAAACTGCTATTATAACAGTGCTGTTACACATCAAACTTTTTGGCAGAACTGTATGCCTGTCGTGTATTCTCATTACTGGAATATAATGCACCTAAACAAACCTTAAAGGCTTTAATACAAAAGTAACTCTTGTATTTGCAACAATACTTGAAATTAGTAATACATATTTTACACCTAAGCTAGGCTTACTTAACAATGATTCAATACAAAACCTAAGCTTGAACTGTGATGGAAAAATGCCAATATACTGTACCATATATACAATCTAACATAAATGTCATCAACACTGCTGAACGGGTAATGCAGCATGTAAATTCTTAACCATCAAGAAAATCAAATACATGAATACATTTACTGCTTACAATGTTTAAAGCAAATACCTACCCATAACACAAAATAAAATAAAATAACTAACAGCCTAACACAGATACTAGAAAGCACAGAAGTTACTAGACGAAAGCAGAATGCTGCGGCCCATGAAAGTGGCTAAGGACTGCTGGGCCCTGCGATCCATGAAACATACCAACACTGCAGGAGTTTGCACACACTACACCATCCCAGCTGGTGTAGCAGCAACTATTAAAATCATCTAGGCTCAAGCCTTACCCCTAAAATTTGCCACTAGCTTACATTATTATAACAATAATAATGATATTACTGATAATATATTACACATACACTTATACACACACACAGTGTACGTTCATATTTCACACAAGATACATTATTGAAAACTGTGATACCAATGATTTCCACAATTTAAAAAGTGAAAATCATATGAGAAAAATAAGGATGCATTCTTCAGACCCCCAAAAAACCCATGCAATTTTTCTTTTACTATCTTAATTCTTCATAATGGCTCTCTTCCATTGCCTCCGTAATACTGTCATTGTGGTTTAGCTGCTGTGACAAGCATGATCTCCTGGCTGGTCTATGCTGGTTTGAGTTGTGCAGATTGATAAATTTGTAATCTGGTATCTTGTCACTCTTTCAAATACTCTTATGATGTGGGATGTTAGGCTCTACTGTCTCCTTTATGCAAACAAGTTTTGTCTGCACTCTTTAAAGTCTGGTATTACACCTAGATCTAAGCTCTTTCTCCAGAGGATACCAAACGCTCATGCTAGTGATACTTCGAACTTTCTTATAAATAAGGAATTCCATGAATCTGGTACAAGTGCTGAATAAGCAGGCACATTTTTTATTTCTTTTTCAAATTCTATGCAACTTGTATTGTTCTTTTAGAATTTCACTTATTTCCTGTTCACTGTCCATGTATGAAGCTCCTATGATCAATATCCAATTCTACCTGGAGTTCTTAACTTGGATTTTGAAAATGTATAGAAATATTTAGGTTTCCTGCAATATTCTGAACGAAATTTTTATTCCCTTTCTGCTTCTGTCTAGTATGACAGCTTAAGTTGTTGTTCTATCTCAATGATCTCTCAGCTAAGATTTTTTTTTTTAACACATTGGCCATTTCCCACCGAGGCAGGGCAGCTAAAATTATCTTTCATTTATTAAGACATGTTCATGTAATTAAACATAAGAACATAAGAAAGAAGGAGCACTGCAGCAGGACCAAGTCACATCCACTCAAGAAGGAAGTAGCACTGCAGCAGGCCTACTAGTCCAAGCTAAACAATTCAGTATTCCCTCGGTCTCTATATTTGTTGTTGTTCTAGGTTATCTTAATGGTACATATTTAAAGCAGACCTTATATCCTTCTGCATTCAGCTTTTCCAGGCACTGGTGAGGATTAAGGGTGCTCACAACTATTTCCCATATGTCTGATAGTTCTTTGTTGATTTTGTCCCAGTCAGTTCTATGATTGTTGATATTAAATTTACTGAACATCCTTTCTCGAGCATTATTACTGAAGTTCCCCATCCCTGAGCTTACACTTGTTTATATTTCTATGATGCTGTGATCAGAGTATATTGTGTTCGTGAGTATGTCTCCAATTGGTTCCTCATTGTTATTCCTATTTTCTAATTTCATACCTAGAACTTCGATTGTATCATGTGATGAATTTAACAGTTCTGTATAGCAAAACGTCTTTCACTTGCAGTATTTACCACCTTTTCCATAGAAACAGGCTACTTGGGCATAGTTTCTACACAGTTCCTCTTTCCTATCTTTATGACATTCTCAGTCTCTTCTACTTCTGCATTTCCATGACTTTCTTGGCCACCTTGCACTGGTTCTTCCTGCCTACCCTGTTCTGCCTCAGTGTTGTTTACTGGGTTTTCCTAGTTACTTTGCTCTGCCTCAGTGTTGTTTGCTGGGTTTTCCTGGTTATACTGCTTTGCATGCATTTCTCGTGTTTCTTCATTTTGTCCATCTAGTTCAAGGTTTGTCTTCTGTCCCACTGCTGCGCATCACAGTACCTGTCTCAACTGTGTTTTATGCCATAGTTTCTAACTTTTTTTTTTACCATGCCATCTGATTTCATTTCGTCCTCGCACTCTGTGTACATCTCTGGTAGGTTCTCAATGAAAGACTGTGCTTCTTCCTTGTTAATATTTAATATGGCTGCACAGTTCCCTTTATCTTTCCTACAGAGCCATGCACACTTACCTTTCCAGGTTTGTGAGCTAACTGACTCGCGTGTGCGTGTGCTTCGGGGGGAGTTGTGTGTGTGTGTGTGTGCGCAAGTGTGTGCATGTGCGTGTGCACATTGTGCGTGTGCACATTGTGCGCGTGCGTGCATGTATGTGTATGCATGTGTGTGTGCATACATGATGTACATTGTCATGAATGACTCCTTACTTAGATGTGGAAAACCTTAGATTTGCCAGATGCACATTTAGTGCAGCAGTTATTTGGTTGATGTGTACCTCAGGAGATATTCTTGGTATGATATTCACCACTAGGTCTTTCTCCTTGAGTGAGGTTACAGCCTTCCTCCCCTGCTTCCCAAGCCTATAGTCCGTCTGCAGTCTCTGTTCTTCCCCAAGTTTCATAACTTTGCACTTGCTGGGGTTAAACTCCAGGAGCCATTTGTCAGACCAGACTTGTAGCCTGTCCAGATCTCTTTGTAGCCTTTCCAGGGCCTCGTCTACTTGTATTCTCCTCAGTTTTATGTCGTCTGTAAACAGGGATATCTGTGACTATCCCTTCTGTCAAGTCATACTCATACAGTATATCAGAAACAGCACCTTGTGGAATCCCACTCTCACCAAATGCACCCATTCCGATACCTCGTCACAGTCCAACACTCGTTTCCTTCCTGTCAGGTATTCCTTGATCCACTGCAGTGCTTTTCCTGTTATTCCTGCTCGCTCTTCTAGCTTTTGGACCAGTGTCTGTGTCAAAAGCCTTCTTGTAGTCCAAGAAAATGCCATCTACCCATCCCTCTCTCTCCTGTCTTAATTCTGTTACCTTCTGTAAAACTCCAGTAGGTTCTTGTTCATATTGCTCAGCAACATCTATATACTTCCTTGCAATTAAAAATCTGAGAATACTTAACCTGGCCAAATGATGATCAAGACATGCCAAAAATAACCCTACTGACTACTGAATAGTGCCTAATATAAGAAAAAATACTTCTTGCGTGATAAATACATTGGCAAATTTAAAATACATTTTCATATTCAAGAAAATATAAACTGGAGACTTTCATTAAAGGCTTTGAGACTATATGAAAGTAGGTCTTTTAATACTGTAATAATAGCACTCAGGCTAAAAAAAAAAATAATTAAATTATCTGATGTCACATCTTGTATTATTAAACTTATAAAAACTTGCAAAAAATCGTAATGACATGATTGTAAATAATTCCGAAAATGAGGAGGGCTTGAACCAATGGCAAATCAGTCCTAAAACTAGTGTGTGCAGACCAGTGGTTAGAACACCAACTTAACAATTTTGAGGACTGACCTGCCATGGCTTCAAACCCTGCCAATTCAGTCACACTAGTATAATTTGTTACGCTACCAAAAAAGTTCACCATTTCACGAGATAAAGCTTACTGTCCAACATTATGCCAAAAATTTTAAATAGAATAAGTGAATTAACAATACTTTTAATATTATAAACCTTTATATTAATTATTGAAGAGTTCACAAACATGGCACCCTCTATAGAAAAATTAAATGCCTTATTCAAATATGAAAATTCATCAAGCTCCAACACTTAACACTACTGGAAAAACTAAGTTCTTACCAAATACAGAAATAACTACCATAATACAGAATACGTACATTATCTTCATTCATCGTGTTTTCTCAGAAGTTTTTAAATGTTAAGAACAACAATTTCATTTCAAGAGTTAAGATGTGTGGTCTGCCAGAAGGCAAGAGAAAGAAAGCTTTCACACAATGATGACACCAAGGCAGGTGAAACAAACATAAAGGAGTGGAGGGAACCGCAATACACAAATCCTCATGCTCAACAATGAAAATAAAACCACAGCAATTACAGGGAAACACTAACTGCAGGTGATACTCTTCACTGGAGGATGAAACTAGTATGCAAAGTGTCTTGGACTTTTACAGTTACCAATTTAACACACAAATGAAAAAATTTTCAACTTCTATGAGATTCAGATTTTGTTCAAAAAATCTTTCTAGAGTATGTGTCTGTGGTGTAACATTAATCTCAACATAAACATACTGTAACTTGCGTCAAGTATATGCCAGAATAAGTTTACACAAAGATAAACTTCAACACAAAGACAAATATCTAATATCAGGTGGATATTGTTAAACATTGCTATAATTTACACTACTCTCAATTTTGCAAACAATTACACATTAAACAACATATCAAAAGAGAAAACATTTTAGCCGGTTAGGTAAATGGTTTATGGCTAGCATCAATATTTATGTACAAACTCTTTTGCGATTGTCCAGTGTCATTATCATCCTCCAACGGAGAAAAATATGAGGCTGCTGGTCTAAGGACACACAAGTAATGCTAGAATAACTGGGGACTGAGGGCTATAGCCAAGGAAAGACAAATTGCTCTTACCTTATTCTTAATAGATAGAAGAATAGAGAAGAATAGTGGGTTACTCCATGGACTCATAAAACAAGAAAATAATAATAATAATAATAATAATAATAATAATAATAATACCAATAACAATACCAATAAAAATAATAATAATAATGACAATAATAATAAATAAATAAATAAATAACATTTTAACAGTCAAGAGATTTTTATACTATGTGGGATTTTGTCATTATTTTCCCATTAACATTTGTACAAATTTTAATTATAAAAAAACTACTGTACAAGAAAACAATACCTAAAGAATTTTCTAGTTTACTAACAGTTTTATTAAAGCACTTAATGCCTTATTCCTTCTCACTAAAAGGATTAAAAAAATGAATAACCATGAGTCAAAACAAGGTCTAGAAAGCACCCTATTACTCAGTATTCAATATCAAATTCAAAAGGAAAACAAATTCAACTACAAAATGTGATGAGTTATACTTTAAAATGCCCCATAAAACTGGACAAAAACCTTTTGCTACTCCAGCACTACCTTTCTTAGTTCATTCTAATGCAACATTCAAATTCTGCAGTAAAGCAATTTTTTTTTTTCTGAAGCCTACCAGTATGTCTGTCATTTGTAAAGGTGTATTTGTTTATTGGTATTATTATGAGTGACATTCTTAACCATACCTTTTTTCACTTCATAGGCTGTCTCCTACCAAGGCAGTGTTACTGTTTTATTATTATTATTATTATTTTCATTATTATATTCAAGGGAAAGTGCTAAACCCACAGGGGGGTCATACAGTCAAGTTTGACCCAAGGAGGGAAGGGTGGCTCCAATTCATTAAATCAAGAGCCATCCTGCATCAAGGCACCCCATGAAATAATAATATCTGCATTATTTTTCAATATTAACAAAGTTAAAAGGTTCAGCCACTGCTAAAAGTAATCATTAGTGAGAATAATATTCACAAGCAGCTTACAATTTTGGCAAACTTTCTTCATCCTATTCTCTTCACAATCAAATGCCTTTACAAAGGGACTGACAAGCAGGGATGAATGACTGTATGTACTCATGTGCAACTATTTCAGCAAGGTAATACAATTTTTCTGATTAATCAACTGCCAGTACAGTAAAAGGAAAATGAGGGAAATATGATAAAATAAAAAGGGTAGAAAGAAGCAGAGCTAGAGACAGACAGAGGCAGAGAAGGAAAGAGGCACGCAGGCAGAGGAGGAGAAGGAAAGAAATAAATGAGGAGAGATTAGACAGAAAAGGAGAAATGAAACATACACCTCAAACTCTACACCAAGTGTTGATAGCTATTTATTTTTTATATTCATAGTTTTTATATTTCTACCTTTCTTTCAGCCCTCTTTCTTATTCTCCAGTTGTGTATTCTTTGCCAATCTATCGAGTTTTCACACAATGAATTTGAAGATTCAGGATGCATAACCAAGAAATAGGTTTACTATTAAACTCAATGGAGATGGAGATACAACAGGTCACTTGTGCAATGTTGACTGTATCCTTATATACATGATATTCAAAGTATTTTATCATTGTATCAATAGTGAATTAAAAAGAGGATTATGTTGAGAGTATGCTACAGTAAATGCAAGAATTAACACAGAGAAAGATTAAGTAATTAAGATTCATGAATAAATACTTTGATACAGAGTGGATATAAATAGAGAGCCTGTTACGTGTGGGTACCAATGTAGACTGGTTGAGTTTATGACAATAAGAGTGAAGGTCACTGAATGTGTTAGTACTGTAGTAGACTGGTTGAGACTAACAACATGAGTGAATGTCATGTTACATGTAGGTACTGTAGCAGACTGGCTGAGCTCGTGACATTAATAAATGTCTTATTACATGTTGTTGTAGACTGGCTGAGCTTTTGAAATGAGTGAAGATCATGTTACATGCTGTAGACTGGCTGAATTTGTGATATGAGTAAAGGTCATGTTAAATGTTAGTACTGTTGTACACTGGTTAAGCTTGAGTGCCAGTGCCCACTACAGTCAGGGAAGTATTAAAGGAGCTTAGTAATGTTTCCTAGCAATATTTATTTTCTTTTACTAAACTAGTATTAATGTTCCACTTATTATCATCATTATTACATTTAATTTTGTTTAAGAGACGAACCCATCTGGAAAATGGGAGGTAATTAGGTGCAATTTGAGGCAGAGACAAGTAGCAACAATTCTGTGGATTAAGAGCCCTTCACCAGTATCAAGGTGCAACCCCCTTCCCCTTGAAGGGTGAAGTTCCACTTGTCCTGGCCCATGGCCAGACTCCGGAAGTAGGAGACTCTTGAAACTCATCAAATGTATATACCTCCATATTAACTTTCAATAAACACTGTTTCCTATTTATTTGTCTGCTATTTATCTTACTTGCCTGTTCTTCATATTTCCATTCTCCTTTACTTTCTCAACTTATAGGTTCTTACCGAGGATTTTTTTTATTTTTTGTCCCAGATTTTTGCTTATGCTTTAGGTGCTCATTACAGTCTCTGAACTTAAAAATATGTGAAGTATCTGGGCAAACATTTGTCATCCTGCAAAGAATGGGGCACTCCCAGAACAAGAAATGCATCTACTACTGTTTATGCATATTTATATTTCAATGTTACAGTATATGAATAATGAATATATTGTTTATTCCCTATTCACTACAGACATTTCTGTAACATTCCTCTTAAGATAAGTTGTGAGAAAATGTGAGCAGGCAACATCTGTAGTGCATTTGCTACTTTTCTTTTATTTAACTGCAGTAAAATTTCTGGGAACTCCTCAATACTGGAACATTATAAATCATTTAAATAAGACTAACAAATTAAACAATCAAAGGTAGGTGGCATCCTTTTATGACATTTTGGCTTTATTCTTCAATTATTTTTAAAAGTGTAAACATTTCAAATTATATCTACTTTTACATCCCTCAATTTCTCCCTCCATACTCTCTTTACTTTCCAAATTATGAAGTAACTCTACTTTATCACACTCAGTGTTAATACTAATGTTCAGCTAATTTGCTTCTGATTATATTAAAGATCAAACATTAACAAAATTAGTTTTTTATAAAATACAATTACAAGTACAAAATTCAAACTCACCTTAATAAGCCGTGCAAGGCCGAAGTCAGCTATCTTAACAATATTGCTGTCTCCAACAAGGACATTTCTTGCGGCTAAATCACGATGGATGTAGTTCTGAGATTCTAAATACGCCATACCTGCTGCAATTTGTGCTGCCATGTCAATTAGATTGTTCAACTTCAACCCTCTGCCTTTACCTGTGGATTTTGAAAATTTTAAGAGAATTTAAAAACTTAACTCTATTAGTTACAGTATCTCTTATAATGCACTGAAGATTTTAACAATCATCATGCATAAATCTTAAATCTCTTACACATACATTGGCATCAGATAAGTTTATACCCTACTTCAATATGCATAACTGGAAATGTACTGCTCTTTTAAAAAATACATAAAAAACATTTTTTTTTTTTTTAACAAGTTGGCCGTCTCCAACCAAGGCAGGATGACCCAAAAAGAAAGAAAATCCCCAAAAAGAAAATACTTTCATCACCATTCAACACTTTCACCTCACTCGTACATAATCACTGTTTTTGCAGAGGTGCCCAGAACACAACAGTTTAGAAGCATATACAAATAAAGATGTTGAATTAGACACATGTGCAACTCTTGGGTATCTCTATTGAGGAAACGTTTCGCCACACAGTGGCTTCATCAGTCCATACAAAGAAGAAACTTGAAGAACAGGAGGAGAATGAGGTAATCAGTCCCTCAGCCTTAAGTCAATGTGGTCAGTCCATCAATCTTGAATAGAATACGGTATATTAGCAGAGAAGCAGCTTATAAACCGTAGACAGGTGAGGGGCAGCAGTCATAGGTGGTGTCACATTTGTCCAATGTGGAAGTAGGTCGTGCCCAAGGGTTAGGCAAGTGGGCACGACCTACTTCCACATTGGACAAATGTGACACCACCTACGACTGCTGCCCCTCACCTGTCTATGGTTTATAAGCTGTTTCTCCGCTCATATACCGTATTCTATTCAAGATTGATGGACTGACCACATCGAAAACGTTTCCTCAATAGAGATACCCAAGAGTTGCACATGTGTCTAATTCAACAATATGTCGGTTCTCTGAACCATTCGTCTACAAATAAAGATACACAACATATCCCTCCAAACTGCCAATATCCCAAACCCCTCCTTTAAAGTGAAGGCATTGTACTTTCTATGTCCAGTACTCAAGTCCGGCTATATAAAAATAACCTGTTTCCCTGAATCCCTTCACTAAATATTACCCTGCTCACACTCCAACAGCTCATCACGTCCCAAATACCATTCGTCTCCATTCACTCCTATCTAACATGCTCACACATGCTTGCTAGAAGTCCAAGCCCCTTGCCCACAAAACCTCCTTTACCCCCTCCATCCAACCTTTTTGAGGACGACCCCTACCCCTCCTTACTTCCCTACAAATTTATACGCTCTCCATGTCATTCTACTTTGATCCATTCTCTCTAAATGACCAAACCACCTCAACAACCCCTCTTCAGCCCTCTGACTAATACTTTTATTAACTCCACACCTTCTCCTAATTTCCACATTCCGAATTCTCTGCATAATATTTACACCACACACTGCCCTTAGACAGGACATCTCCATCGCCTCCAACTGCCTCCTCTCTGCAGCATTTACAACCCAAGCTTCACACCCATATAAGAGTGTTGGTACCACTATACTTTCATACATTCCCTTCTTTGCCTCCATAGATAATGTTTTCTGTCTCCACATATACCTCAATGCAATATTTAGTGAAGGGATTCAGGGAAACCAGTTATTTTTATATAGCCGGACTTGAGTACTGGACATAGGAAGTACAATGCCTGCACTTTAAAGGAGGGGTCTGGGATATTGGCAGTGTGGAGAGATATGTTGTGTATCTTTATACATATATGTTTCTAAGCTGCTGTGTTCTGGGCACCTCTGCAAAAACAGTGATTATGTATGAGTGAGGTGGAAGTGTTGAATGATAATGGAAGTATTTTCTTTTTGGAGATTTTCTTTCTTTTTGGGTCACCCTGCCTCGGTGGGAGACGGCCAACTTGTTAAAAAAAAAAAAAAGTATAGTTTTACATACAGAAGAGGGATGATGAAATTCGAGGGTCTGCTGTATATCATATGATTTGCCTCGTCTTTTATATACCCATCTGCTAACACATCCACCCCTAAATATCTACTGTTAAATACATTCATTTCCTCTATACTACTACCTTCCATTCTGACCTCCATTTTTCATTACACAGACATTTTCTTACTCCAACCAATCCCAACTTCATTTGTTTACAAACCACCTCAAATTCCTTCACCAATATTTGCAAATTCTTATCATAATCTAAAAGCAACTATGACAACTCCTACTTTGTATCAGAATCATTATCATTTAAACCTACACCTTTCCAACACTAAACACAATTCTTCTACAACATCCAATAATGTATTAAACAACAGTGATATCACATATCCTCACCAAGTGCCATCTCGGAGGGAAATGGCCGATGTGTTAAAAAAAAAAAAATCACGAATTTCGCTTTCCACATAAAAACTCTTTACAGGACTTGACAACATATCACCTCTTATATTCTTATGCAATACCTGCCACACTGCTCCCCTATCCACAATCCAAATCCATAAAAGCAACAAAGAGCTTCTTATCCTTATTTAAGCATTACTCACTTGTATGCTTTAATGCAAGCACATCCCCTTCCCTTTCTAAATCCTTCTGGTTCCTTTGCGATCTGATTTTCTGTCTTTTAATAATAATTCAACCATTAGAATTACCCAGAAATTTATTTACCAGTGAAGCTTTTCTTAAAACACTTCCTGAAATCTGAAATAAAAAGAACCAAGAATCAAAAGATGATAAATTAAAAAAAAGCAACTGGCACATACCTTGGAGGTATTCTAGTAATGAGCCATTCTTCATAAGCTCTGTGATGATGTAGATGGGCTCCTCAAGTGTACACACTGCATATAGTTGAATAAGCTTCTGATGTCGTAGTTTCTTCATAATCTGTGCCTCGGCAAGGAAGTCCTTGGGATCCATTGTACCTAAAAAAAAAAAAAAAAAAGCTTAGAGCACTAATCCCATATTTACCATCCTAACTTGCCAATACACATAATACTACAAGATGAACAACTGATCCAGCTATACTAGCCCATTTATCAGACAAACAACAAATTCTTAAATTCTTATACAAAAGTCATGAAAGAAAACTTAAACACTTTTCCTGAATTACTGGTGGGACCTGCTATGAATAATGAATAACAAAGCTGGTTAATTCAGCTCATTACAGTATTGCAATGCATATCTACATGCAACAAATTCCTATGGTATTACTACAATAATAAGTTCCCTTAAAAACATATCAGGTGATCAAAAAGATATAGCAACCTTGATACACACAAAAAAGATGCAGATATAACTCCATATATAGCTTTATGAGTAGACATGATATGGTTCAAGATGCCAGAAACCAGTAATGCCAGTTGACCAAGTTTATGAGGCATGGCCAAGTGCCAAAATATGACCCCTCACTAACACATATCAATGAATGCATAAATTACTATCAGCCATATCAATTTAGATGCAGTAACTACAATTAAATAACCACATATCAACATCTGAGGTCCACAAGGTGATCAACCTACCAGAAAAATGCAAAAAATATTTCCCAAAGAAAAATATAAATCTTTGAGAAACAGAAATTCCTGCAAGTATTCAACATAAAAACAGTAATTTTAACAAATCCTAAACTTGAAACATTTCTGATATAATCAAAGATATTTGAAAAAGATCTACAGCCAAACACACTACTGTATACATGCATTCTAAACATCCCTAAATCAGACTACCAGTGTAAATTCAGACTACAAATGAACATGATTAATTCCACTCAAAATCCTAGATGCAACCTACTTAGCACTACACAAAATAATATCCAACTGGATTACTGATTTATATATGTATATAGGTGCTAACTATAGTTAGCAGAATCATGAAGGCCATTGAACCAAACAAGATGAAGTACAGTGGGCCCTCAACTAATGATATTAATCCGTTCCAGAGAGCTTGTCGTTAACCAATTTTATCGTTATCCGATTCAATTTCCCCATAAGAAATAATGGAAATCCAATTAATTCGTTCCTACTGTCAGGAGGCATGACAGAATAGTACTTCAATATGATGCTATTATCAACTCTACAGCTTATTTATCTATCACAATTCATCTAATATGACATAATAAACAATATTAATAACATAGAAACATGATATATATAGTAGGGCCCCACCTTACAGCGTTCCGCTAATACGGCGATCTCAAATTATGACCAAAACTTTCTATACGGCAAGTGGTCTTTCAAATATGGCGCAGGCCATCCAGTTTGTTTACATTCTTCATGAGCACATCTCTCTATTATGTAATAATAATCACTCTTGGGCACGTCAAATGTCTAATTTTACGTCAATATATACATTTTCATTAATCCATCTATGATATTTTCTTCAAAATTATATAAGAAACACGTTACGTAGTATATAAACATTTTGTTTATAATACTATGGAGGTGTGGTAGCCGGGCGGAGGGAAAACATTGTCACTCCCCTCAATACATAACGCTTTTGTTTACAATTCTCGGCTTGAATTATTCATTACTTCTCCCTTTGTTTATGATGGCATCTAAAGGTAGTTGTTATAAACAATTAAACTCAGTGAACATGGTATGGCTCTGGGCCACATTAAATATCGTGTAGCTATGTAAGTAGGTGTAGGTATGTAGCCTAGGTGGACTCCTACATTATTATTATAGCTGATATATATGTGTACCTGTACTTAAGTAAACTTACACACTCTGCTGGCATGCAGGTACACATTAAAAAGTGTCTTACTAGTCTTGATGATGCCATATTAATAATGATAATAATAGTAACAATAATAATCACTAAGGATTAAATATCATATAAAACATTAATATAGACATTTGCTTAATCCATCTAAATACACCCCACAGTAGAATAAATTAACATAAATATGAGATGTGGTAGCCAGGTGACTTGTAGGACTTGTGGTAGCCAGGCAGCTTGTGGTAGCCAGGCAACTTGTGGAAGCCAGGCAACTTGTAGGACTTGTGGTAGCCAGGAAACTTGTAGGACTTGTGGTGGTCAGGCAACTTGTAGGACTTGTGGTAGCCAGGCAGCTTGTAGGACTTGTGGTAGCCAGGCAGCTTGTGGTAGCCAGGCAGCTTGTGGTAGCCAGGCAACTTGTGGAAGCCAGGCAACTTGTAGGACTTGTGGTAGCCAGGAAACTTGTAGGACTTGTGGTGGCCAGGTAACTTGTAGGACTTATGGTAGCCAGGTAACTTGTAGGACTTGCAGAAGTCAGGCAACTTGTGATAGCCAGGCAACTTGTAGGACTTGTGGTAGCCAGGCAACTTGTAGGACTTGTGGTAGCCAGGCAACTTGTAGGACTTGTGGAAGCCAGGCAACTTGTAGGACTTGTGGAAGCCGGGCAACTTGTAGGACTTGTGGAAGCTGGGCAACTTGTAGGACTTGTGGAAGCCAGGCAACTTGTAGGACTTGTGGAAGCCAGGCAACTTGTAGGACTTGTGGAAGCCAGGCAACTTGTAGGACTTGTGGAAGCCAGGCAACTTGTAGGACTTGTGGAAGCCAGGCAACTTGTAGGACTTGTGGAAGCCAGGCAACTTGTAGGACTTGTGGAAGCCAGGCAACTTGTAGGACTTGTGGAAGCCAGGCAACTTGTAGGACTTGTGGAAGCCAGGCAACTTGTAGGACTTGTGGAAGCCAGGCAACTTGTAGGACTTGTGATGAAAACCAGACGTGTTCATCTGATTTGTTTACATTATGTGTGGGTGGAGTGTGGAGGGCTGCCCGTCCTGGCTGCCCATACTTCCCAACCTTACTTCATACAAATAAAACTCACCTCTCACCCTACATTAAGGCTACAAATATTTTAAGGTAATTAATGAGTGTACTATATATGAATTTTATCGCTCTAGGGAGCTTAATGTTGTAGTAGGTATAAGTGGCCAGGCAGGATGCCATCCCTCCCACACGACTTTCTACAAATAAATACTTTTCACGTAAATTCTTACCCTACATTAAGACCATTAAGACTACAAATATTTTAAGGTAAGTAATGCGTGTACTGTATATGCATTTTATCGCTCTAGGGAGCTTTAAGCATCGTATTATAGTATGTGTGGGTGGGGTGGCCAGGAGGGCTACCACACCTGACTTCTTAGAGTAAATACTACTCACCTTTCGCCCTACATTAACCCTTTGGGGGTCGCCAGGCCCTCTCAGAGACTTGTTCTCAGGGTCGCCAAAATTTTGAAAAAAAAAAAAAAAAATTCTTATGAAAAGATAGAGAATCTTTTCCCGATCATAATGACACCAAAAGTAGGAAATTTGATGGAAAACTTACGGAATTATGCTCTCGCGAAGTTAGCGGTCTCGACGAAGTTTACGCATTGGCGATTTTGCCCACTTTGAGCCCTATTTTCGGCCAATTCCAGTGTACTAGTCGACAAAAATCATAACTATTTTGCTAGAACTTCGTTTTTTCTATCGAATGAGTACAAGAAACCACCCATTTACCGATTTCAACTATCCAATAAAGTGGTCAGAATTTAGCAATTTTGCCAATTTCACACAAATTTCAAAAGATGCCAATTTCCAAATAGGGTCCAGAATAAACAAGAAAGACATTCCTGGCACTAAAATAACATTTCCTCTGTTCATTAGTCACATCCCCAGGCCCCTCTTACATTTTTTTTTGCTTTCCACTTTGATTTTTTATTTTCACACAAAAAAATAAGATTTACTGTTATGCAGTCTACTGCATTAGTGTAGAAATGGTATAAATAATATCGGCGCACTTGTGAAAGAACATTAGACTCACCAGTTGATGTGTATTGGACGCTTAGCATGATTTGTTTACTTTTGACCTTTGGTAAAAGTCGAACATTTCTGCTACTTTGAGCTCAATTTCAAGGTACTTTTCATTGTAAAACCAGTCAAAATCATCTCAATTTCTGTAATATGTCTTCCATTCTATACAATGAGACCAGGAAAACTAGAATACAACAATAAATCTCATACGAAAATACAATGCAAAGTCGGTCTTAAACCAAAATCAAGGTCAAAGTTTTTTTTTCTCATTACGCACTGTGTGCTGCAGGATTTTTTTTATACTGCGCACACTGACCACATAGACCCATTCTTTCATATGTAGGCCTACCAGCTTTCTCTTGCTAGATTTGAGGGCACTAGAATTTATGCATACTGGTACGTCAAAAACCTTGGTGCGTAAGCCGTACTAGTACGGCCAAAACCCTGAAAGGGTTAAGACTACAAATATTTTGAGGTAAATAATGAGTGTACTGTGTGTGTATTTTACCTTTTAATGCCTAGTTCTATTGCTAACTTAATATATGTTAGCGTAAACTTGTTATCTGGCATTTATATGCATTTATAAATGGAAAAAATGGAGTCCTGCTTTCGGGCGAAGTCTGCTTTCCAGCAGTAGCCTGGAACCTAACCTGCTGATTAAGTGGGGCCCTACTGTACTCTAGAATGAATAAAATATGTCATAATGTATGTGAGAAGCAAGTGCTGGAAGTGTTGTTGTTGGGTTAATAATGGCCACTGAGAGAAGCCGTACATATTAGTGGTGGAGGAGGCTTCTGCCACCACCACTATCCACAAACAATACATGTACATAATTTATAAATAAGAAAGATTTACATTTTAATTTCTTCTTTCTTCTTTCAACAAACCGGCCGTATCCCACCGAAGCGGGGTGGCCCAAAAGGAAAAACGAAAGTTTCTCCTTTTACATTTAGTAATATATACAGGAAAAGGGGTTACTAGCCCCTTGCTCCTGGCATTTTAGTCACCTCTTACAACACGCATGGGTTACGGAGGAAGAATTCTGTTCCACTTCCCCATGGAGATAAGAGGAAATAAACAAGAACAAGAACTAGAAAGAAAAAAGAAGAAAACCCAGAGGGGTATGTATATATATGCTTGTACATGTATGTGCAGTGTAACCTAAGTGTAAGTAGAAGTAGCAAGACGTACCTGAAATCTTGCATGTTTATGAAACAGAAAAAAGGACACCAGCAATCCTACCATCATGTAAAACAATTACAGGCTTTTGTTTTACACTCACTTGGAAGGATGGTAGTACCTCCCTGGGCGGTTGCTGTCTACCGACCTACTACATAGGACATTTTAATTTATAAATAAGAAATATTTACATTTTAATTTATAAATAATAAATATTTGCACTTACCTTGGAGATGCTAGTTTAATTACGTAGTTAGTTTGGAGTGTAGCAGATATGCAGGGAGTATAGCAGGCATGCAGGAAGTGTAGCAGGCATGCAGGGAGTGTAGCAAGCATGCAGGGAGTGTAGCAGATATGCAGGGAGTGTAGCAGGCAAGCAGGAAGTGTAGCAGACTGGCAGGAAGTGTAGCAGGCATGCAGGGAGTGTAGCAAGCATGCAGGGAGTGTAGCAAGCATGCAGGGGGTGTAGCAGGCATGCAGGGAATGTAGCAAGCATACAGTGAGAGTAGCAAGCATGCAGGGAGAGTAGCAAGCATGCAGGGAGTGTAGCAAGCATGCAGGGAGTGTAGCAGACATGCAGGGAGTGTAGCAGGCATGCAGGGAGTGTAGCAACCATGCAGTGAGTGTAGCAAGCATGCAGGGAGTGTAGCAAGCATGCAGGGAGTGTAGCAGGCATGTTGGGAGTGTAGCAAGCATGCAGTGAGAGTAGCAGGCATACAGGGAGTGTAGCAAGCATGCAGTGAGAGTAGCAAGCATGCAGGGAGTGTAGCAGGCATGCTAGGAGTGTATCAAGCATGCAGGGAGTGCATGCCTGCTACACTCCCTGCATGTCTGCTTATTTATCTATCACAATTCATCTAATACATAATAAACAATATTAATTTCGTGAGTCAAACAATATTAATAGCATAGAAACATAATATATACTCTAGAATGAATAAAATATGTCATAATGCATGTGAGGATAAGTGCTGAAAGTGTTGTTGTTGGGTTAATAATGGCCACTGAGAGAAGCCATACATATTAGTGGTGAAGGAGGCTTCTGCCACCACCACTATCCACAAACAATACATGTACATAATTTATAAATAAGAAAGATTTACATATTAATTTATGAATAAGAAATATTTACATTTTAATTTATAAATAAGTAAGTTTATTCAGGTATACACAAATACAGTTACATACATAGATTATCATACATAGCAGCATATGTGTAAAGTACCTAGGATAACCAAAAAAGTCAGAGTGACTTATTTCGGCATACACAAATACAGTTACGTACATAGATTATCATACATAGCAACACATGTGTAAAGTACTTAGGATAACCAAAAAAGTCAGAGTGACTTATTTCCATTGGGGTCCTTTTATATTTACACTTATATTTACTTTTATACTTACACTTTTATATTTACATTTACCTTGGAGGAGATGTAAGTTTAATTAGTTAGTTTGATGAAGGAGATGCTGGCAGAGGTTTAGGGTGGTGGAAGACAGCAGGCTGGCGTATGTTCAGCGGCCTGATACACATCCAACAACATTGGAGAGTTACTTTCGTGTCGCTTTTCTATCTCTTACTTGCTTACCTTACTTGCTACACTGTTAATCCTACATTTTATCGCTGGCTGGCGCTATAGCCTTTATTATTACCTGCTGCTTTAGTACCATACAAATCGTAAAATCACTGAATCACCGCAGAAGGCACATTCACCCTCTCTCTTCCTCCTCCACTTTTGCACTTTGCTATGAGTTTTTTCTTGAATTTTATTGTGTTTCTTTCCTTATTTATCACAGGACTGGCACTAGAAACTTTCTTTGGGCCCATGGTGGCTTATTTAGCAGTTACAAGCACTAAAAACAATGGAATAATACAAAATATATCGCATGTACGCGTGGAATCATCCTCCCTGGCTTGTAAACAATGGCACACTACCTTGTACATGGGTTCAGGCCACATGGACATGTTCAGGACGAATGTCCTTAAATGAGTTTTTCTTTGTTAGCCGAGCCAATATTTTGACACAAGAACGCATCGGTATCCGATTTTATCGCTATCCCATAGCATCGTTAACTGAGGGTTCACTGTACATGGCTATCTCGGCAATCCCACAATGAAAGCAGATTGAATTCTGTAAGCAGGCTTCAAACTGGAAAAAACTGAAAGATTCCCAAATAAAAACCCAATCCCTGATGATGAATGACAAGCTATCCAGAAAGAGTAACTGTGAAGTTAAATAAAAAAAAAAAAATTTCAACAAGTCAGCCATCTCCAACCAAGGCAGGGTGACCCAAAAAGAAAGTACTTTCATCATCATTCAGCACTTTCACCTCACTCATACATTGTCACTGTTAAATAAAGATACCCTTGATAAATGAAGACAGACTCCAAAGTACACTGCCTCACATATGTGCATCCAGTCCTTAAGTACACAGCTCCAGTGTGAAGCCCTTCCTCTCTTATTACGAAACAAAGTGAAGGACATCCACATCAAGACTACATGAACAAAAACTCTTATCCAAAGAGAAATGAGAAGGAATCTGATCCCATCCTATCACAGTAATATGAAACTGAAGTCTAATAAACATTTTGCACCTGGGCAGGACTGTTTACTTTTTTTTCAGTCTCATGACCATGCAAGTTGGTAGGCAAATCTTAAAAACTACTTTTATTCCAATTTCTTCCTAGTTCTTATTCTTGTAAGATTTCCTTAGTAATATGAACCCTGGAACCATCTGAAGTTATCATACATATACCAGTAACAAACAAAATACTCGAGGACAGACAATTAGATACATGTAATAGGCTCTTTATCAAAAGAGGATCTAAAACAAAATACATGAAGGATAGAAAAGCCTAGAACAGCCATTGAAACAGGTACTACACTGTACTTGTGACATAAAACACTTCAATGGAAAACCAGAAAAAAATGGATAGATAAAAATAATACACAAGCTCACTCCATACTGGTGCTCAAACACAAAAGATAATTCACATTCAAAAATGAGGAAGGCTCAAGAGCAAGAGTTCACCACCACCACAAACTAATAGGTAAAGAGATTTTGCAACACTATATGTACATCAAAATATGCAGGTAAAGGAATATCACACAAAATGACTTGAATATATTCAGCACAATAAATATCTAATACTGTGAATCTCAAAAGTCACAAATGCTTACCTGGTTTAAGAGTTTTGATGGCAACTGGTGTAGTGTTATTCCACAGGCCTTCCCACACTTCCCCAAATTGTCCATGGCCTAATTTGCGAACAAACTTCAGAGACGATCTGTCTATTTCCCACTGGTCTCGAGTATTGTGTGAAAGTCCAGCGGTGACTGGCTTTTCAATCTAGGAGAGCAATAACATTTATACTACACACAACACCAAAATTAGAAATTAAATTTCCCAGTAAACAGCCAGGTATTTTATCACAATCGGGTAAGTGAAATTATAACCCCACTAAAAACTTATGCTATTTAGTATTACCTATACTAAGAGAAGCACTAAATTTTATTTATTAAATACTGTCAGACTCTACAGTTTTAAAATATTTTAATCTAGAAAGTATATACTTTACTATGTGCCTACAGCCTGATACTGAGGGGAATGGTTTGCTTTCTGTAAATATTAAACACCATATTTATCATTGAAATAATCAAGTTTTCATGAAATCATCTAAAGGTTACATTTGTCATAAAATTTCCACAGACGATATTACCCTCCAGGATAATTACTTATACAATCCCAACAATTATTTTGCTTATACATACTGTACATACCAGAAATTCTTTTGTGTTAATTTCACCTATGAACACCTATTACAGTGAATGTCTACACAAATATCTACAGTACCCACCCATCAAGCTTACTTTTATTTCCAGTAAAATAGGGATGAACAGGAGCACCAGGTCTTGATTCTAGTCATTTTTATCAACAACTCAATGCAGAAAACAACTCGAGACATTAAACCTTAACAACTTACTGGGGTCACCTGAAAGTTTGCCCGCCTCCCAAGAAAATAGTGGAATATAGTTAAGAATTTTTTTTATTTTGCACTAAAACTAGCATAGCACCTAACCTTGCTAAACTGGCACAATACAATGACCACTTAATTTACCTATCTAGGAATCTGCATAACTAATATTTCAAGTGACCCCTTATTCGTAATCCACAAATAACATGCTGCAACATTATCATCGCTTATAATGTGTTATACTAAGTTAGTTGGTCAATTCAGTACATTGCAAGATAGAACACTCACCAGTGTCAACAAGCAGCACACCAAAATGCATCACTTACAAGCTGAAGCAGTAGGCTAGGCAATTTTATGCATCACTTACCTAATTAAAAAAACTATATGACTAATCAAATGAGACTGCAGTTGCTATAGCACAAAAGTTGTCAAGTGACCATATCTTTCTAGTTCAGATGGTGGCATTGTGATTCAGGAAGACTTGCCAAGCTACAAGTACTGTATAATGCTAAGATAGCTAAAATTAATTTCACGCATTTTAAAGCTGATGATGATAAATATGATGACAGGTTCAGTATACGTACTGTAATTTAAAAAACTGGTAACACTTAGAATTTAAAAATAAAAAAAGGATCAGAGCTTCAGTAAGAGTTCATAAGTACTGTACCTTGGTGTCTAGATTACATAATGTATATAAAAAAGTAACATTACATTCCTTTATGGTTTACTGCAAGCTATCTTTCATAACAATTTATTAAATACATATTAATAAGCTATTTTGAAACCATTTCCCTTACTATCTAAATATACCACCTCCCACTTTTCTATCTACTACAAACATCTTGCTACATAACTCATAAATACCAGCAAGTGTTAAGTGGTGTGCATGTTAACAGGTAGATGAGTGCAACTGTGCTCTTAGACACAACAAATGAAGGACTGATAATTTGTATATTTATCAAGATATACTGTACATGATTGCAGAATACAGTAATATGAAAGACAAAAAATAACAAATACATAGCTGTATTTTATAAATAACACATTTACCCTAGGAAAAATGGTTTAATTGAAGCTACATACATATGCATACACACATATCCCATATAGTATCCTAAATGCAATCCTCTTTTTCCTTTCTACAATGTTTCTGTTCAGTCACTAATTCTGTGCAGCTACATACTGTCCAAGCAAGGCTACACAGTCATTCCTTAAAGATATCAAAACTACTGTTTAGTATTTCTCTTGGACTCCTACTACACCTCACACCTTTCGTTTTTACACCAACCTTAAAAACACTCATTACTCATTACATGCCATCAAATTTATAGTGCACCACAAACATTTCTTAAATGTAGTAAAGACAAATCCAATCTGACCATATGCAAATAGATTTGGCTGGTTAGTTTAGGCCTCCCCAATCCAAAGCCCATGTAGCATGGAACAACTGACAGTATGATGCAGCAGTAAAAGTTAGGGGATGCAAGACTCTGGTTTGAGCCCACATGATGCTTTGTTTACACAAAGGAGAAAGAAAGAGGAAAGAAGAGGGAATAAGATGAGAACATTGAGGGTAGGGGATAAGGAAAAGAAGAGTTTCGAGAGTTTCACTACTCTTGGAGCCCAGCCATGGGCCAGGCTCATCTGGTGCTTGCCTGGTCAACCAGGCTGTTGCTGCTGGAGGCCTGCTGCCCCACATATCCATCACAGCCTGGTTGATCTAGCACCTGGTGAAGATACTTGTCCAGTTTCCTCCTGAGGCTTCTATACTTGTTCCAGTAGTGTTTCTGATATCATCTGATAAGATGCTGAATAGTCTGGGACCCCAAATGTTGATACAGTGTTCCCTTATTGTCCCCACTGAACCCCTGCTCCTCACTGGGTTTATTTTGCACTTCCTCCCATATCTCTCACTCCAGTATGTTGCTATGGCAGCATGCAGATTTGGGACCAAGCCCTCGAGTACTTTCCAGGTAGTATATATTATCATGTACAGTGGTACCTTGATTTATGAGTTTAATTCATTCCGTGACCGAGCTCGTAACTCAATTTGCTCTTACATCAAACCAATTTTCCTCACTGAAATGCCATTAATCTCCTCCAGCCCCCAAAAAAACACCCCAATTTTTTTGTTATGGGTTTTTAAAAGAGGAAATGTATTTACAAATAAGAAATATTGTATAAAAACATAAAACATAATAAAAGAGAATGTAAAGAAATAAACTGGTTTTATAAAGTGTATTTACCTTGGAGATCAGACGACTTGGGCAAACAGAAGATGCTGGCAGAGGTGGAGGGTGGTCGCTTTTGTTCGTCATAAACTTAATCGCTTAACTTACTTGCTACAATACTAACACCACCACTACCACCACCATCTCTACTAGCATCACCACTACCACAGCTTAACAAGAGAGGTGCTTCCACGGCGAGGTAACCTCGTGTACTCAATGAGTGACACGGGATGCTCGGTGGATGTCATGGCATTCACTGCGCCAACTAGTGGCAGCATATCTGAAGCTCGCTTGTAACTCGGATTTTGGCTCGCAACTCAATGCAAAAAATCGACCAAGCGACGGCCCATAACTCGGAAAACTCGTAAGTTGGGGCACTCATAAGTCAAGGTACTACTGTATTTCTCTTTCCTTTGCTCAAATGAATACATGTTCAAGATGTGAAGGCATTCCCAGTAATTTAGGTGCTTTACTAGCTCAATGTGAACTGTAAACGATCTCTGTATTTGTTCCAGCTCTGATATTTCTCCTGCTTTGAATGGGGTCATCAGCAATGAGCAATATTCTAAATGAGGAAGCACTAACGATTTGAAGAGTGTCACCAATGGCATTATTTCCCTTGTTTTGAAAGTTCTCAATACCCACCCCATCATCCTCCTGGCTGTAGTGACTGTCTTATTATGTTTCTTAAAAGAAAGGTCAACTGACGTAATTATTCTCAAGTATTTTACGCGTTTCTTTCATTCTATTTGGTGACCCTTGAGTATTGTATACAGTGTTCCTTTTGAGTTCTTCATTCTTTCCATATCTTAGCAGCTGGAACTTATCACCACTGAATGTCATGTTCTCCACTGCCCACTGGAAAGCCCTGCTTATGTCTTTCTGTAATTTTTCAGTGTCCTCTACCATAGTGACTTTCATGCTTATTTTAGTGTCATCTGCAAATAACGATGCAAAAGTGTGACGGGTGTTTTTATCTATGTCTGCTATGAGGATGAGAAACAGCAGAGGTGCAAGGACAATACCATGGGGAACTGAGCTTTTTACCTCGTTGATGCTGGATCTTGCTCTGTTTACCAATATTTTTTGTGGTGTGTGTTAGAAACCTGAAAATCCATCTGCCTACCATCCCCATAATGCCCATGGCCCTCATTCTGTGCGCTATCACTCCACAATCGCATCTGGCATCTAGGCTCACAGAATGCTCCAAGTAATGTAGATACATAAGAATTCTGATTGCATCACTAGAAGAGTGGCTTGGGTAACAAGTTCAGGATTTTTTTTACCAGGCACTTTCTTGAAATAATGAGTGATGTTCGTGTTTGAATGTCCTGTTTCACATTCAATCAATAGTCATGTCCTTAAGACTTAGACCTTTATCAGCCATATCACTGAAGGAGTATGTATGGATTTCACAGGCGGAACATCTCAGGCATCGCTGTCCTCATACAAGTTGTCAACAAGGTTAGTGATTATCAACCCAACTTCAGTATTGTGTGATATGCAAGGTAGAAGAGAGAGCACTGAGGCTGTGGCAACAAATTCCACGTGTGCACACACACCTCAGCTGGTGACAATCAGAAGTTAACACACTCACCCTTGTCCATCAGTCAAGACAACTGGTGTCCCATCATAAAAATTTACAAACATGGGATTGCACTATAACTGATTTCTGCAGTTGTAACTTTAAATTCCAATGATATCTGTGAATATATCTGTGGATATCAAATTGGGGAGGAGGAGTATGGAAGAAGTGAATGCTTTCAGATACTTGGGAGTTGACGTGTCGGCGGATGGATTTATGAAGGATGAGGTTAATCATAGAATAGATGAGGGAAAAAAGGTGAGTGGTGCATTGAGGTATATGTGGAGTCAAAAAAACGTTATCTATGGAGGCAAAGAAGGGAATGTATGAAAGTATAGTAGTACCAACACTCTTATATGGGTGTGAAGCTTGGGTGGTAAATGCAGCAGCGAGGAGACGGTTGGAGGCAGTGGAGATGTCCTGTTTAAGGGCAATGTGTGGTGTAAATATTATGCAGAAAATTCGGAGTGTGGAAATTAGGAAAAGGTGTGGAGTTAATAAAAGTATTAGTCAGAGGGCAGAAAGAGGGGTTGTTGAGGTGGTTCGGTCATTTAGAGAG